GATATAGTACATAGTGGTAAAGTCTTGCCTTTAGAGTATCCATCATCTAAATAATGTACATTATACACATTAAGTAATTTCTCATCATCCTCTCTCCACACATCTGAGTGTCCACTGTACATTAATCTACACTGTACGTCCAGATTATTTAGCTCTCACTTATAAGTGAGAACATGCAGTATTTGACTTTCTGCAGACTATTTATTTTCTTATTGTTGAACTTTGAAAGTTTTTTTTTTTTTTTTAGACAGAGATTTGCTCTGTTACCTGGACTACAGGGAAGCAGTGTTACGATAGCTCACTGCAACCTCAAACTGCTGGGCTCCAGTGATCCTCCTACTCAGCCTTCCAAGAAGCTAGGATTATAGGTACATGTCACTGTGTTAGCTAAGTTTTGTATTTTTTGTAGAGACTGAGTGTTGCTATGTTGCTCAGGCTAGTCTTGAACTCCTAGCCTCAAGGAATCCTACCACCTCAGCCTCCCAAACTGCTAGAATTACAGATGTAAGCCACCATGCTCAGCTGCTAAGTTTTTTTAAAAACATGAATGGGTATTAGTTTTTGCCAAATGTCCTTTTGTACCAGTTGATTTGATCTATCGATATTTCTTCTTTGGACTGTTAAGTAGTAGATTACATTAATTTATGAATTTTGAATGACCTTTGCATTCCCAAGATTAACCCCACTTGGTTGTGGTATATTATTCTTGTTATCTATTATTAAATCCAATTTCTTAATCTTTTCTTGAGGACTTTTGCTTCAGTAGTTATGAGAGATACTGGTATACAGTTTTCTTTTTTGTACTGTCTGTTTTTGGGTAATGGTAACCTCAGAAAATGAGCTGAGATGTGTTGCTTCATCTTACATTTTCTGGAGGAAATGTGCACAGTCGATGGTATTTTTTCCCTTATTTTCAATTTTCCCAGTGAAACCACTGGGATGTGGAGATACCTTTTTCAGAGTTCTTTTTTAAACCATAAATTTAATTTGATGTGGAAACATGCCCACTTAATATGGCTTCAGTGACTTCACTGAGGAAAGTTTTCCTCCTTGTCTGCTGTATGTTTCAACTTTTCCTTTCCTATCTGCTTTTCCTTACCTCTTTGGATGTTGCTAATTGTGGTCTTTATAACATCAAAATGTTTTGCTGTCTTTCTTTGGCTGCTGCATTCCAGAAAATGTAGAAGATCAACCTCTTCCTTCAAGGGCAGTTTATTGACTTCTTTCCTTTGGGCCATCATGTCTCAATTAACTATAAAAATTTTCAGTAACTGTAGGCTATATCTACAATTTAGACCAGTCCTTCATGTTGAAAAAAGTCTTCCACAACATGTGATAAACAATGGATGATAGGCCTAATCCTAATCCATGTGCTAATAATAAAACATGAAAAAAAGAACTAAGAATAAATAATACAACTGAGGGGCAAAGCCCACACCTTCTACCCTTTGGTGTAGCGTGGACTCAGCTGGTTAAGTTATAAAGAGTGAATTAATTTTATGTGTCATAGTCCAAGTGTTCAAGATATACCTTACAGAGGCAATTGATACATAGATGTCAGGCTTCCCTTAAGTAAATGTGGTACGTGTTTGGTCTATGAAAAGTAGGTTAACTTAATAATGTAGTAAATGTAGGGAGGTGGTCAACTATGAAGATCCTACTGTATTTGGTTATTTTCTGTTACTTATACCTGATTTAATTCCATTATAGTCAAAGAACCACCTTTTATGTTCTTTTAAATTTTAGGTTTGTTTTATGACCCAGGATATGCTCTGTCTTGGCGAATATTCATGCATACTGCAAAAGAATGTGTATTCTACTGTTGTTGGGTGGACTGATTTTTCTATCTACTAGCTCATTCAGCTGTTGAGAGAGGAGTGATACAGTCTCCAACTGTGAGCATGGATTTGTCTATTCCTTTGTGACTTCTATCATTTTTTGTTTCAGGTATTATGACATTCTGTTGTCAGATGCATGCACAGTTAGGATGGTTATACCTTCTTGATAAATTGATTCTTTTATCATCATGTAATGCCTTTCTTTATCTTTGGTAATTTTCTTTGTTCTGAAGTCTACTTTGGTATTGCTATAATACAGTCATTTCAGCTTTCTTTTGATTAGAGTTTTTAAAATATGTATATATTTTTTCATCTTTTAACTTTTGGCCTAGGTATCATTATGTTTGAAGTGAGTTCCTTGTTGGACAGCATGTAGTTGGATCATGAAATCTCTTCTGATAGTCTATTTCAATTAATTGGTATGTTTAGACCTTTTATATATAGCTATTGATATGTTGGGTTGGAATTTATTTTATTAGTTTTCTTTTCACTCCATTTTTTTCATTCTTTTGTTTCCTCCTTTTGCTGTCTTCTTTTGGGTTATAGAATTTTTTCTAGTATTTTAATTTATCTGTTGTGTTTTTTATTATGTAGTTTTTTAAAATGGTTGACCTAGGGGTTACAGTATACATACCTAACTTTCACAGTCTACTTAGAATTAATATTTTATCACTTCCAGTGGAATGTAGAATCTTTTCCATCATTTCTGTCCCTTTATCCTTTGTACTTTTTGTTATAGTACTTTTAATACAGTAGAACCTCTATAGTTGACCAC